TTTGCATGTGGCCAACCCGGGTTCGATTCCCAGCATCCCATATGGTCCCCTGAGCACCGCCAGGAGTAACTCCTGAGTGCAGAGCCAGGAGGAACCCCTGTGCATCGCCGGGTGTGACCCAAAAAGCAAAAATAAATAAATAAAAAATAAATGTTTTAAAAAAAAAAGAGAGAGAGAAAATGTGTAAAATGTGTAAAGTGTAAAATAAATAAATTTTTAAATTTAATTTTTTTGGTTATATAGTTGCAGCTATCGCTCCAGCCGATGGAACAATAGCACAGTGGTAGGGCATTTGCGTTGCATATGGCCGACTTGGCCGACCCAGGTTCGATTCCTCCACCCCTCTCAGAGAGCCCGGCAAGCTACTGAGAGTATCTTGCCCGCCCGGCAAAGCCTGGCAAGCTACCCATGATGTATTCAATACGCCAAACACAGTAACAACAAGTCTTACAATGGAGATGTTACTGGGCCCACTCGAGCAAGTTGATGAACAACAGGAGGACAGTGCAGTGCTAAATATAGTTGCAGATGAGATATTTACCCAACCCAGACATATGCATAGCTTTATACATTTTTTTAATTTAGAAACCATGATTTACAGAGCCTTAATAATAGAGTTTTAGACACATTTCAACACCAAACCCACCTATACATATACTGTATTTCTACATGTGGCTATTGGATAACATTGATTTGTCCTTGTTCCTCCTGCAGTGATCTCAGGTTCATTAAGTTTCACCCATCACAGTGCTCCTGAGGTACACCCAATTCCATCAGGCACTTCTAATCCTATATTGCTTTTCTCTTTCCTTTATGTCCTTTGCATGGTTTAGCAATGTCCTTTTTGTATAGACACAGAAAGGCAGTTGATGCTATACTTTTGTAACATAGGAGTTAGTTGACTCTGAATAATACTTACTACTGGGTAAATGGATCTCACATTTACTTGACTTAAGTCTCAATTGCCCTTACTTCCTAACACCCCCAAAAGGAGAGTCCCGGCAAGGGACAAGAATGGACCTAAGGCAAGTCTTAAGCTACCCTGGTATTGAAAAAGGCTAAGCACCATAAGAAGTAAAAGTTAAGAGCACAGTCATAGAACAAACTCTGTCATAACTCAAAAAGAAATGACTGAGTAAGGACCCTGCTTACTGAGGTCCTTTCCTAACCCTGGGGTTAGGAAAGACTATCCTGGCCTCAGGATAGTAGTCTGGGATTTATAGTGAAGAGCCACTCTTTAAACTTAATATAGCTCTTACTTGTTCATACAAAATTACTAGAAATAATATGATTGTTTAAATAGATTACTGGCTAAGGAAAAGAGAAAACAATATACCCTTAGATGGATCTACCCTTGAGTGGATCTCCTAATAATCTAGATTTGTTGAAGCCCCAGATGAGATTTTGTCCCTGAGTTAATCTTCTAGAACTTCCCTTGAAGGAGAGCTTTACATTTGTTTATTGTTATGATAATGTTAAACCCCATCTATGTGTACCCCCATCCTTCACAATTTCTGTATAACTATGCTGTGAGACAAGAATAAAGTTTCACTGATTACCAACCAGCCTGTGGCCCCAATGCTTTGTTTGCCTGTCGCTATCAGCCGGCCAGAGGAACAGTTCTCAGCCACTGAACACACCCACGCTTTAAAGAACTCCCACATGGCTTTGTGTTTATACATCAAGTAATAATAAATGAATTTACAAATTATCAAGAGTGAAAGAAATTGGGACCAGAGAGATAGTACAGCAGATAGGGTGTTTGCCTGTATGTGTCTGACTTGAGTTCTATCCCCAGCACCCTATATGGTCCATCAAGTTCTGCCAGGAGTGGTCCCTGAGCACAGAGCCAGGAGTAAACCCTGAGCACTTTTGGGAGTAAAAGAAATGTTTTTCTTTAAGGGGGTTAATATTTGATCCCTTTATAGAAAATTGAGAGAATTGCTATTAAGATACTCTGCTTCTCAAAACATAGAAAAAGCACATTAATAACCCTGAACTACAGTATAGATTTTCATGATTAGGTATAAGAACTCTGGTACTGGATTCAGGCCACTTCTAGAGACAAACAAAGGGCAGGTTACTGGGCACATATCAGCAAGAGTGTCTCAGGGTCTTGTCTGCTCCTGATGAAATGGAGAGTCCCAAATGCACATAACAATTTTCAAGCATAAATGCCTACTCTCAGTAACGCCCCCTAGCGAGAGTCCAGTGCCTGAAGTGAACAAAAGATAGATATTTCCATGGCAAATATTTCCTTGCAAGTCTGAGGCCACAAATACAATCCCCAGTGCTGCTCATGGTGTGGTCCTGGCAGTTCTTTCTTTGTTGGCCACTCAAGACAGTGGACAATCTCCAGAGTACAGTCAAGCGTGGGAGAACACCACCATCAAACAACTGTGCTACCGTCTGTCATCACAACAGGGCAGAGGCAGGGATGCTCAATCCCTTTCAGAATGCAGCAGGTTCCAAACAAGGATCTGAATCATAAGGACCCTTCTGGCTGGGAGCAAGCAGGTTGTTGGAAGTCAGCTGGGCACCCAGGAAGGCAAGCTCAGCTGGTTTCCACTTGCTGCTGTGGAAGGCTGCTCGGATGTATAATAAAAGAGTCAGACACCCAAGGACAGTAGATACAAGTGCCAAGGAGGTTTGCTCCATAGCTGGAAGCCTGCCTCATGAGCAGAGGGGAGAAGGCAGATGAAATAGAGAAGAGATCACGAAGAAAATGATGGCTGGAGGAATCAGTCGGGATGGGAGATGTGTGCCGAAAGTAGATAAAGAACCAAACATGATGACCTCTCAGTGTCTGTATTGCAAACCGTAATGACCAAAAGTAGAGAGAGATCATGGGGAATATTGTCTACCATGGAGGCAGGGGGAGGGAATGGAGGGGGGCATACTGGGGAGATTGGTGGTAAGGAATGTGCACTGGTGAAGGGATGGGTGTTTGATCATTGTGTGATTGTAACCCAAACATGAAAGCTTGTAACTATCTCACGGTGATTTAATAAATTTTTTAAAAAATTAAAAAATAAATAAAAGAGCCAGGCACACAAAGCCTAGAGATAATGGCTCTATGTGACCAGGCTCGGAGCCTATAAGAATGCTTGACAGACATTATTCTATGGACTCGATATTGAGGTCTGGGAACCAGCTGCCACATCAGCATGTGTGCTCTATCTTTGGGGATTATACCTGGCTTTTGATTCTGTTAAATGCTTCCTCGTTTACACAGAACACGTTGGAAAAGCCAATCACTGACCCATTCACTTAGTTGCTCACTTAAGAAACCATACAGATAAAGGAATCATTTATGGCTGGAAGAACAAATACATTTCTCCGACTGCTATCACTTCCCCAATCAGAAACAATAGCCAAGGCCACCTATTTAGGCCTTCTTTCTGTCACCCTCACAACTCGCTCCCTGGGAGTCCCAATCTCTGAGCAAGCACTCTGTGACGGGGCTGTCCCTCTCATTTCCACACTTGTTCTCAGACCCAGACATGCATTTCAACCCTTTTGCATTCATTTTTCAATGACAGAGAATAAGCGTTTCTCAGAAAATGTGAAAATGTCATTTTCTTGTGACCCTTAGGGACTAAGGATGAACCCAGGGCCTAACTCCAAAGGGGGTCCTCTCAGCCTCCCTTTCTTATCATCACCAGTGGTTCCTTTATGAACAACTCTGTGAAAAGCTGCCCGATCTCTCTGCACTGACCACTCTCCCTCCTGGACTCAGTTCTTTGGGACTTGTCTCTGGCGTGTTCCTCATTACCCTCTGCCCATCCCTCTCTTGACTCCTCAGAGGCCTGAGAAGTTGCCGCAGAAATCTCTGCCCTCAGGTGAAGTTTTCTGTGGAAAACTTGAGCTACCCAAACTGGGAGCAAAGCTTCTCACATTGGTGCTCTCTACTGGAGCCCAGAATAAATGCCTCCAGAGACCAAGTAGTTACAGCGAAGACAGGAAACTTAAGCGCAGGACACTTGGGAGAGGCTGGGTCCGCTCTAGTCAGCTCTTACCAGGGGACGCAGAATGTCTGTTGTTGGAGCAGGTTTTTCTGCTGAAGCTTGAAGTCCAGTTTGTACGTGTGTGAAATCTGGAGGTTTGAAATGTTGCTTGGTTTGGGGGTGGGGGAAGGTTAGGCCATACTGGGCAGTACTCAGGGCTTACTCCTGACTCTGTGCTTAGGGATCAATTCTGGCAAAGCTCAGGGGATCATGTAGGGTGCTGGGCATGGTCAGGTCACCTGCATGCAAGGCAAGTGCCCTACCCACTGTACTATCTCTCTAGCTCTGATGCCTCAATTCTTGAAAAGCAAAAAAACCCTGAGCTTATGTTTCCCCTCTGTTCTGAACTGAGTCATGTTAAAGTTTAAGAAAAGAACAGAGAAAGAGTTAAGTGCCTACATAAGTGCCTTTATTTAGGGCTTCCTAAATACTTTAGCCTAGAGAGCCTGAGATCCAAAGCAGTTCTCAACTCCAGCTCTAGGCCAATAGTTCAGTTTCATTTCATTTTCTTTGCCACAGTACATATACGGGTCAATCTCCTCTGTCCTGCCTCCCTTCTTCAAGGTGAGCTGCACATTTTTGGTATCCACAGGGCTGATTTTACTCTGAAAACTTGCAATTTTTTAAACACTAACGCAGAATGCCAAACCTGTCTATCTTCCCAGAGCCTGCATGCACTTCTGCCCAGACAACTGAACAGTTGAGGGCAAGGCAGGGGATTTTGCTAAAATCCTACCGCTGTCAGAAAAGAAACAGTTTAGGGCTGCACTGGTGTGGAAGGACCTCATCCCACAAGCAGTGTCACAGAAGGGATCTTCAGAAGCTTCTTGGAGCTCAGGAAGTAAAGCTGAGCTATTCTCTCAAGAGGAGATGGCAATCCTCCCTCCAACTGAGTGGAATTCGGCTCCCGGCCACAGCTGTGTGCAGCCCAAACCCCGAGGCACACCCCACGACTCCCCCCTTCTGCTGGACGCCCTGAGAAGCCACACTCACCTTCTGAAGAGTGAAGGGACACACAGGCTGCCAGGGCCATGAGCGCCAGTGCCGGTTGCTGCATTCCTGCCGGTCACACAGCGCGGGGAGGCACCGCAGCGCAGGCAGCGAGACGAGGAAATGAGATGAAGTGACCTTGAGTGCGCAGGAAGGCAAAGGGAGCCAGGAGGCCGCCCCGGGAGGTGCTGGGTGGTGGTGGTGGTGGGGGGGGGGGGGGTACCTCTTCCTTGTGCCTTTCCCGCAGACCGGTCTCTGCCTCTAAGACCAGGCATGGGTTCCACCATCTGAGGAGTCAGCGGTGGCTGGACAGCCCGGCTGGCTGTGATTTAGCTGTGCAGGTCGGAATAATCTGGGGACCATAGATATTATGGAGATAGGAGCTACCTACACAAGTTCCTCCCCAGACTTTCAAATCAGAATCTTGGAGCTGGGAACCAATCATTCAAATTTTTCCAAAGCCCCCTTGGTGATTCAGGGGGACAGTCACTGCGAACCGCTGCGTTAAGGAATCCGTTCTGAAACAGCTTGTTGAAAGCAGGAGTATCTGGGGACAAGAATGACTAGTCATAAACAATTATCTGGAGATGATACGAAGAAAAGCCGACCCTACTCTGGTTCTTGGTTTGCAGTCAAACTGATTCCAATGAGGTTGTTCAGAAATTCAGAAAACGCAAGAAAGTAGAGTGGCCTCTTTCTCTCTCCCTTCCTTTTTTTGTGAAAAAAAAAAAAAAAAGAATTAGGGAGCCAGAGTGATAGTACAGCGGATAGGAAGATTACCTTGCACGCAGTTGATCTGGGTCTGATCCTTGGCATCCTATATGGTCCTCCAAGCACTGCCAGGAGTAATTTCTTTTCCTTTTTCTCTTTTACCTTTTTTTTTTATTGAATCACTGTGAGATAGACCCCTACAAAGCTGTTCATGATTGAATTTCAGTCACACAGTGTTCCAACACCCATCCCCCACACCAGTATACATTTCCCAGCACCAGTGTCCCCAGGTTCCCTCCCATCACCCCCCTCCCCACCTCTTGCCTGCCTCTATGGCAGGCATTTATCCCCCCCCTTCTCCTTTTGAGCATTGTTATTTTCAATATTCCTACTGAAAGGTTATCAAGAATATCCCTTTACCTACTTTCAGCCCTCAGATCCTGTCCAGCGTGATCATTCCCAGCTATTATTGTCATAGCAGTCTCTTCTCCATTTTACCTACCCTCAGCCCCACACACACTTTTGGTTAGATCCAACCAGCCAAGAGTAATTTCTGAGTGCAGAGCCGGGAGTAATCCCTGAGCATATCAGGGTGTGACTCAAAAAGGAAAAAAAAATGATCCTATATTTAGGCTCATTCAGCTGGACTGTTTAGATGATCCCAATTTTGTTGGCAACATCTAAGGCGTCAGTTAGGAGCCAGGAGAACATGCGCCTTCCTGTATCCATCAGGTCTGCTCAGGTTGCTGACCTTGGCCTCATCAATGTCACAGGGTTTCTTCATAGTCTGTTCGATCCTGTGCTTGTTGACCTTGACACCCGCAGTGAGCACCAGTGTGTTGTTACCGTCTGTCTTCTTCATGGCTGACCCAATGGTCAGAGGAACTTGATGATGGCACGATGGCCAAGCCAGTTTCTCCTGGGGCACACTTCTAAGGGCATCTGGGCTGCCTGCTCAGCCGCAGTGTTTTGGGCCTTAGGAAGGTGGGTGACATGCAGGTGTTCTTTTTTGTGGCTGTGGGCACCTTTCAGCACTGCTTTCTTGGCCTTCAAAGCTTTGGCTTCAGCTTTGGGAGAGGCATGGGCTTCCTTCTTGGCTTTTGGTGCCATCTTTGTAAAAAGGGTTTATTTGTTTTCTCCTTCCTTCCTTCTTTCCTTCCTTCCTTCCATCCTTCCTTCCTTCCTTTTTCATTGTAGTTCAGGGAAGAGGTTTACAATAGTGTTTGACGTGTTGATGTGATAGTTACTGAAGCTTCATCCCCATCAATGTGCCCAATATCCTCTGCCACTGTCACTTATAATCAACCTCTCCCTCCTCCTCCACCCCCCCACTTGACCCTTTTTAATTTAAGTTCTCCAAGCAAAAGCCAAGGGGCGTGTCACCATTAGATGTTGTCTACTCCCTGTTTTGTTTCTCTGTATCCCACAAATGAATGAGTTCATGAGGTGTTTGACTTCTCTAGAGGGGTGTCTTTCTTTAAAATATTTTTTCTTTTAAATTACTGTGAATTACAGTTAAAAAGTGATTCATTATTAATTTTCAGGTATACAGTGTTCCAATTCCAAATCCCTTCACCAGTGTCCATTTCCCTCCACCATGTCCCCAGTTTCCCACCCTGCACCCCTCATGCAGCCTGCCTCTGTGACAGTGTTCCCTTCCTAATTTATCCCCCCCAACCCCCATTCTAGAGACAAGCTTCCCACTGAGGACCAGTTCTCCTGATCATTTCTCTTGCTTTGGGATCGAGGGGTGTCTTTCATGTGGGCTGTACCCCAGCACCATGAGTGAGTCCAGCTTTGTTGCTCATGGGTGTTCTGAACAGAACCAGAAGACTGAGGATGATTAGGGCTAATCCTGCTTTCCCCACCAATCACTGCATACTCTTAGGAAATGCCCTTTTACTCAGTACTTCATGTTGTCTTAAAACACAACTATCAGTGACTTTGTAAGTCAATTTTTATATAAATTTTTTAAAAGAAGAAAATGCTGTCTCCTGTTGTAGCAAATCAGGCTGGGTGATCTCCAACGTCCTCTGGTGCTTTCTCGATGACACTGGACAGCACAAGTGTCGTAGAGAAGCTTGTGGGACCTAAAATCACAAGTGACTCCCGAGTATTTGAAATGTGGGGGTTCTATATTCAGTTGTCCTGCACCTGTAAAATGCACACTGAATTCTGAAGAGAGTATTAAAATGTGTGATATGTATGTACCAGGGTTAGGGTACTTTTCCATCCCATCAACTCCCTGGCACCACATATCACTCTGAGCACTGTCAAAGGACACATCTGAGCACAGAGCCAGGAATGGCCCCTGAGCACTGCAAGGTGTGGCCCCCCAAAGCATAGGTCTATTGGTAATAATTCTTATACTGATTACATACAAAAATGATATTTGGATAAATTGAGTTGAATTGGATAAATTATCCACAAAGGGATTTGGTGTTGGAACACTGTAGCACTGTAGCACTGTCCTCCCGTTGTTGATCAATTTGCTCGAGCGGGCACCAATAACGTCTCCATTGTGAGACTTGTTGTTACTGTTTTTAGCATATCGGATACGCCACGGGGAGCTTGCCAGACTCTGCCGTGAGGGACGGAGGAATTGAACCCAGGCTGAAGTGATAACACAGCAGGTAGGGCGTTTGCCTTGCACACAATGCCAGGGAGTTGATGGGATGGAAAAGTTCCAGGTTGGAACACTGTATATCTGAAAATTAATAGCAAATAGCTTTGTAACTCTGTAATTCACAGTAATTTAAAAGAAAAAAAAATAAAGGAAGATACCCCTCTAGAGAAGAGTAAATGCCTCATTAATTTCCCCAGTTTCTGACTTTTGCTTGCTTGGGGTTTTTTGTTTGTTTGTTTGTTTGGTTGGTTGGTTTTCAAGTTTTGTGGAGGGTTTTTTGTTTGTTTTTTGTTTGTTTGTTTTTTCTTTTGGCTTTTTGGGTCACACCCAGCAATGCTCAGTGTTTACTCCTGGCTCTGCACTCAGGAATTACTCCTGGTAGTGCTCAGGGGCTCAAATGGGGTACTGGGGATACAACTGGGGTCGGTTGCATGCAGTGCAAATGCCCTTTCTGCTGTACTATGGCTCCATCCCACCCGTTTCTGTTTGACTTTAGCTTCTGTTTTTATTTTGAGAAGTGTCTCAGCATCGAGGCCTGTGAGAGTGTGTGCCCACAACAATCTCAGTAGCTATCTGGACCTAGCAGAGTCTCTGAAGAGAAACTGCACAAAAATGACAGGCGGGTAGGGAGATAGTCTAGCTGGCAGAATGCTTGCCTTGCCTGTGACCAATCTTGATTCAATCTCTGGGACCCCATATGGTCCCCTAGGCCAGGAGTAATCTCTCTCTCTCTCTCTCTCTCTCTCTCACACACACACACACACACACACACACACACACACACACACACGGATTTTCAAAAACAGCACAGGCCTACACATTCACCAGTGGACACCCTGCTGGAGCCCTCCATGGGGCTGAGGTTCTGCGGGAGGAAGTCTGTGGTCAGCTGGCGGTGACTGTGCTTTTCAGTCTAATGCCACGGCCATTTCTGTGAGCACAGAGTCCGTTCCTGTGGCACCCTGGGCACTCACATTATTCCCGTGAGACATTACAGCTCGTCTTGCACTGTGGGAGCGTTTCTTCTGCTAGCATATGTCTCCTGGGGAGCAGCAGGACAGGAACCAAGGGCTTGCAAAGTCTGAGGGTCCCCTCTGAGGGGCCTTTCCCACACCCAGACTTTCCCCTCAGCACTGACCGTGTAACAAGGCTGGGCAGGAGCACGTCAAAGTTGATGGAGAGAGAAGAACACAGCTCTGTGGGGACAGAACTTGAACCTTGAACCCAAGTGGTGAATTTCCCTTGAATATCTTATTCCTGGTAAGGCTCAATTTCCTGTCTCGACTGAGACTTACAAGCTTCTGTGTAGGGGTTGTGCTTTCCAGAAAAAGAAATGTCTGGACATCTATACCAGTACTGCCAACTTAGTTTAATTAAGATGCTTGAGCATAGAGGTTAGGTGACTTATTTCAAATTAATCAATAAATTAGGAATTACAGGGGAAACTTTTGTCTCATACACACACACACACACACACACACACACACACACACACACACACACATGTGGCTCCAAGAAAACCCAGAAAGAAAGTAAAAGAGGAAAAATGGCTCACCCTTCTGAATGTTCAATTGATTGATTGATTGATTGATTAATGGTGCTTGGGCCACACCTGACTGCACTCAATGATTGCTCTTGGCTTTGTGCTAAGGGATAATTTTTTTAAATTATTTTTTATTGATTCCTCCGCCCCTCTCAGAGAGCCCAGCAAGCTACTGAGAGTATTCAATATGCCAAACACAGTAACAAGAAGTCTCACAATGGAGATGTTACTGGG